GTTACTAGTAGCGATGCACTTGTTCCTAGTAGCTTCTTGTTACTACTAGTAAGGCACCTGTTACTAGTAGCGATGCACTTGTTACTAGTAGTTTCTTGTTAGTAATGCCCTTGTTACCATGTAGCGATGCACCTGTTACGCATGGTAGGAGCACCTCCAAACCTCATCCAACAGACCGTCGAAACAATTGTCACCGCAACTGCACGGAAAATTCACTGTTCACATCCGTCGGAGGCCGTCGCGCTGCACCCACGGGTGTGCTGCCAGAGCAGCACCTGGCCGGGCAGCATGTGCCAATGGCCGCGCAGAACCGAATGCCTTCACCGGAGGATTCGCTGGGGAGACGCGTTCAACCAGACATTTTACGGCGGGAATTAACATATGGTTTCAAGCGTGGCATGTGGGTCCTACACGCCAAAAGGCATGGACAACTTGGACGCTTCTTGCGGTACATTTGGGTACCGAAAGGTACTTGACCTCTTCAATGATCACAATGGCCAGCAAAATTCGGTCAACTAAGAGTGTTTCCTATCGGGGTCGGTGAACGCGCATGGAGCACGAACGTGGCTGGTCCGGCGTTGGGAAAGTTGGAGTCCTCAATGAAGCGACTCCAGGTGTGGCCACGCCTGGCATGCCTGGCCCCTGAAGGGCCTGGAGTGTGAAATGGTTGGTGACCAATATTCCAGGGGCGGTGGCGTAGTAATGAAGCGTCCAACTGGCGCCATCCATCACCTCCATGTCCCAGGCGGGGTCCTTGCGTTTGATGGCCGCCGACCCGGCGATGATGTTGAACCAAGCGACGATGACGGTGGCAGCATCCACCCCAGCAGCTGGACGGGAAATCTTGAAGTGACCATGACTTTAAAGACCGAAGAGAGTGGAAGATTCTGCAGCATTCTCGAATCTTTGTTTGTTTCTTTAGTGTGGCATCACATGTTTGAATCGTTCTGGGAAGTGATTGAAGACAACACCATCCGATCATCCAGCTTTGCACTGGGTTCACACACCAGGTGGCCTAAAGAACTCTTAACTTTTAGACTGAGTCCATGGCACAGCGCTCACATCTGTAAAAGTCTAGGCACATAGATGATCATAGATGACAGAGCCACGCCGCAAATCTGGGCGCACCAAGGTCCTTGGTCGAGGCTCCCTGGGCCGTGCTCAAACTCAGCCGCCTTACCCACAGCCCCAGCCTTACTCCGCTCGTGGCATGCGCGCGGGTGGCGCTGCGCAGCCGGAGACCAACAGATTGTGCGAATTCCTCTTGAATCAACTGCACATTCGAGTGCAGCAATCCCATCAAGAGAGACACCTGGCATCAGAAAAGGGCAACATTTGCTATGAATTTTTATGCTTTTTGTAAAGTGAAAACAGACAAGTTTTATTTGGGGCACATTTTGGGCAGAGTAAGGAGAACAAGAGCTTCGCAAGCAGATGATGGAGCTCAAAGACATGGAAGCAGCTCAATTTCAAATGAAGGAGTAAACAACGTTAGTTTCCCTTTTGCTTTTGAGACTCTTGTCCTATTTTCCAATCCGCACCCGCTCATCACTGCAATCACAACCACCAGTCACCACTACCCCATCTTAGCACCCACACGAAGGTTTTGGACTTCTTCCGCCCGCTACTCTGAGAACCAAACGCTGACAACCTTGAAAAAACAGCCGTGGCTGTCCTACCCTCGCTCAACCAGAGAACGCCGTGTTCGACCATTTTCTGCTGCAAAGAGATCGAACGCTTTCGACCCCACTGCCACATGCAGCAGCACCCTAAGACTGAACCATGTCAGGCCTTGCTAAGCTGGATATACTGAAGTTTCAAACCTAGTGCAGCCAGAAAGCTGTTTGAAACCTCCAACTTGGCATTTTTGAAGCCCCAAACTCGAGCTGCTTTCGCTCTGAGGACCTCTTTGCGCGTGCAAAAGAGGAGGTTCACTCGGTGCTCCACCGTGCAGACGAGGAGAGCGCCGCCGCCGCGGCGAACGGTGTGGCGTTGCCGCTGCGTGCGCCGCCCTCACCGAAGCCTCCCTTTGCATGGCAACCCTCCCAGGAATACGTGCCTGGAAGTGTCACAAGTGGGTGGGGAGGTGATGAAATGTAATGAACATGCGGTGGATTTCAAGACAAAAAACAGTGAGGAATCGGTTTGAGCATTGATATATGTGCAAAAATGGGGTGATGTGTGAACTCCTTGAGGACTGATTTGATGTGAACTCCGGGAGGCCATCGCCAGGGATGGAGAGATGATGTTCGTTTCGACTTGCCATGATCAGCCAAGGAACGTGAGTTCGAAGCTTCTTGCCTGCAAGTCGTTGGCCGCTCTTCCAGGGTAGCGAAGCAGAGACTCTTTTCCGGACTCAATGATGGGAGTCACGACCGATCCATGAAGTCCTTCCGTGCTTGGAGAAGGCCAGCGTCTTCGTTCATAACGACCTATGGAGAGTTGGTTTTCTGCTTTCTGCACATGTTCAATCGCCATTTTCCAATGCGAAGAGCGTCTCCTAACGCTTCAAGGTCACTGGAGAAAGCCATGAAATCGTCACGAAGGTCGGAGACTTCGAAGATCAAGGCGAACGATTTTTCAGCCTTGGCATGGTCAGAAGTGATCGCTGCAAGTCATAGGCCATCCAGCTTTTTTGTTGGTGAATCTATGAATATGTGAAACTCCTTCCATTGCTATTTCAGTTTCAATTTGATGCGATCTGTTTCTAATTGTTTTCCGCACTTTCAGAAGTGCCGACGGGTATTGATGTTGTTGGTGTGAACGGTGCACTTCAATTCTTGCACGCAGTTTGGCATGTTGGACGTTTGACTGACACCCACATTGTCCAACTTGTCCCTTCGGGTAGCCGAGGTTCACCCGTTTCACTGAAATTGCGGAACCCAACACAAACAGATCCACAATGGTCATGCTGTACCTGGCATCGCTACTAGGAGCGACGCTATGAACGGGGTGCTGTATCGAGCTGTGGCTGCCCCACTCCTTTCGTGGTGTCTTCGAGGCACGATGCCGACGACTCGCTGGTCCGACAGGTTGGGTGATCCCCGTGGGCGGCTCCTGGCGCCTCATGCGGGGCGGCATCTACCGATGGACCATCCGTATCGAGAGGAAGTGCTCGGGGCGACCTCAGCTGCAGCTGGGCGTGACGTGTATGTTTCAAAACGGCGGGAGGTTGGCTGTGAAAGGGAGGCTCAGCAGCTACTTGTACGCTACTAGGGGCTCCTGGCCTTACTACATCTTACTAGTTAGTAGCAAATAGCTGAACTGAGACAGGCCCTGTGAGGCCCTGTCGGTGACCTGATTGTAACGCATTTCCTCAGGCAGTTGGGCATCCATGGCTCTAATCACAACCAGCCCTGGCGCTTGGTGACCACCTCTCGCTGTTCCTGGTCACGGGATGATGAGCCCTGGCAAGACCGGCCAGCGGGCGACCGGTGCCTTGGCCGAACGATTCGTCTTCGGAGGAACGATGCGCTGCGGCAGCTACCGCTGACGTGAAAGGCATCAACTTCATAGCTACGAAGGAAGGGGCTCCTGGCCTTACTACTAGGAAGCTACTAGAAACAAGCGCATTAAACTATATTAAACTCTACTAATGAGTAGCAAATAGCTACTATAGTAGCTTCTAGCTCCTATTAGTAGCCATGCACTTGCTACTACTAGCGATGGACTTTGTTCCTATAGTAGCTTCTCAAAAAGTTCACCTGAACGTCCTAATTAAAAATAACTTTCCTCATCAGTCAAAAAGGTGACAAGCGCAGAGCCTGGTCAACAATCCTCTTTTGTTCAAGCACTTTCACTGCCAATGATTGTTTCACAAGATCTTGCTACCTTGGCCCCGAGGCTTATAGACGAAGGGAGCTTCGTTCACATTGAAGTGGACATGCGCCCTGCTTTGCATCATGACGAGTTGGCCTTTTGGGTTCAACAAGGACACAATCTTGGAGTCCCACTTCCTGAACTGTTTAGGGACCATGAGGACTGTTCTCTATTTGACTGGGGCCAACTGGATTGAAGAGGTGTGCGCCGTTTGGGCGTCCGCCGTCGCAGCGCCCGTCGTTTGCCCGTGCCGGCACCCAGGCGGGGGATCAACTGCACCACGGGGAGCTTCGCCATGGCCATCGATGACGGGCCCTTCGAAGAGTTCTTCAATGACATCCCGCTGAGCCGCTGGGCCGCGAAGGAGGATACAGGTCGGGTCAAAGACCACAGGATCACGGGCAGATGGGACGAATGGAGGATGCTGAAACCAAAAGAATGTGTTTCGCTACCTGGCCATCAGATAGCGTATGATAGCGGGCCTGATAGCGTTCCTTTAGCTGGTCATGAGATATCATAGTGATATCCAACCCGCCTCTACAGGAGCATGGTGAGACTTCGCACTATTCACGAAAGCTAGCATCAGCTAGCTGGAGTTGTCCTTGCTTTAGCAAGTGAGGGGCTGGAATCCACGAGATCGCCGCATCACATGAAAACTTCATATGTAGAGGGGAGGCCCCCCCCCGGGGTTCAACTCCCCGCTGGGACGCCTCTGGGACGAACACTTCTTGGACACCTTTTATAGCATCCACTTTGGTTCAACTCCTCCGTGGAGGTTTTGGGATACGATGCAACAGATTCAACAGATTCACAAGCTAAGGTTGGCTGTGTCATTGCTGTTCGTGTGTCTTACATGTTCACAACGTTTTACCTCATGAGCGAGACCTTGTGAACCATCCCTCCAACAGCCCCATGCCTATGAAAAAAGATTTACCTCACTCCGCTTGATGTCCCACCAGTTCTTTGTCACTGGACGGCGCTGTATGCTTCGCTTCCACTGACACGGATGCATCCCTGCTGGCTTTCGTCACCTACCCTCGGCCTCAAGTAGGCGCTTCAAGGCTCAACTGATCAACAGTTCAGCCGAACGCACAACCAGCTGCAAGATCATCCACCTGCCAAAAGACCAACTTTACAAGGTGAACCACAACTTAAACCAAAAGTCTCGATAATTGATATATATATATATGTGTGTGTGTGTATAAACCTTTTGAACATGGTTGAAGTTAGTTGCTTCAGCGAAGCCAATTTTATGGCCAATCCAGCAATACACACAAACCTGCCAGTAATCAACTTGCATGTAGGGGAATGACAAAACTCGAAACCACCCCCAGCGCCCAGGTCAGCCATACTCGCTGATCCCGGTGGTCTCCATGGGGGGCAACCAATCGTGCGTGCGGCTTTGTCCCAACTACTGACTGCTGATCACGCGCTGATCCTGCAATCGCATGGATCCATGGGCAACGCATTGCCACATGGCTGCTTCCCATAAGTCAGCAACATTCTTTGTAGCCAGTTAGACTTCCCCTCCTCCACGCTGTTTGCAGAACAAACTCAAGAGATACCAAGATTCATGCAGATAGCAATAATTCCTCCACGTTCAGATGCTGCATGTGTGGTTTAACACCAGGTTCAGCAACCTACCCCAAAATAACTGCTTGAGATATCACTCAAGTTCTTCACGGCCAGCTTTGCACGCTCAATTCGACGGCCAAAACAGGCGGCAAATGCGAAGGCAGGTCCACCAAGGATCTTGGATTCAAGTGGCCATGTCAGGATAGTTGCAGAAGTTGGCACAAAAGATTCTGCTTTGGTCCATGTGGTGGGTGCTGTGCTTCGTACAGAAATTCGAGTGAATGAATCCCTAACATTGGGTGCCACAAGGAGGAGGATCCGTTGAAATCTCATGGCTTCCACCTCCGTTTGCACCTCCGTATCATACGGACGTCAACTCTCACGTTTGGTGCTGGAGACGCCCCGCCCACTCGGAAAACCGGACAAGGTCAGCTGGGCAGATGTGCGATATCCTTAGATCCTAGCAGGTATTGGAGCAGGTTCCAGGGCGTCCATTTGGATCACCGGGCACCATCCACATCATGAATGTTCACAAAGTTCAAAATCGGCCTTGTTATTGGCAATAATGTATGGTTTCGGAGGCTGGGAGAGTTTGAATTTTATAGTTGGCAGGTGATTTGCTATTGTGATGTTCCCCAAAAGGTTTCTCATGATGGCCTGGCAGCTCAGAGCAGAGGGCTGGAGAACCACCAGGTTCAATCTAGGGCTCACAGATGGAAACCTTCGTAAGAAGACGACTTTGGGCGCAAGAAGATTGAAGGCACATCCTTTTCAACGCCTTGGTCAAATAACGGTTGATCGCTTCACTGCCTACGAACCTTCTTGTATAGTGTAGGGGGTATTTGAGGGTGGGTCAAGGAGGCACAAAAAGACTGCGACCCAATTGAGTTCTGGTTTTCGTGACCTCGTTTGTTGTGCCTTTTTTACGCGTTTTGTTCTGATCCTCTTGGGAGGAGCCATGATCCTGGGGCCCACCGCTGTCGTGCCGCGGCGGACACCGCCGCGGCGGACACCGCTGTGGCGGACAGTGAAGAGATGGTTCTCCTACGAGGATTACTGTGGGGGAAGGATGGCGGCCAAGTGGCTTGAGAGAGAGCTTAAGAGAAAGCTACTAGTAGCGTCCTTGCTCCTATTGAACAGATCACAGTGGAAAGGAACATGTGATATCACTGATCGATAGATCACTGATCGATAGATCACTGATCGATCACCACCCAGTACACCACCCATAATGGATCCCGTCTCATCTATCTGACCCACCGGAATCCAGCTTCCTTCCCCACGCTGCCGAGCAGGACACCTTGGCCTATCGACTTCACGGTCCCAAGCCATTGGCCGCAGCTCGTTGCAGTTCATAGTGCATGATATGAAAACACAACGAAACACAAGCTGTTGGGAAGATCAACCTTGCTGCGGATTGGAGAAACAACATGATCAAACGTTGCCGTTGGTTGGTGTGATGGTTTGGCCTTCCCTTCAAGCAATTGATGCGCGGTTGATGGTCCGATTATGGATCGGGAAATCGGCTTGCTGACCGACGAAAGTCGAGGGGCAAGGGACATGAAACTATTGTAGCAAGGAAGCTAGGGATTTATATCAAGGGATGGCCAGGGCTGCTGCGAATGAAGTGAGCTGGACGTTAATTCAGGTTCAGGATGAAAAGCTATTAGCCATGCATTGTTGAACCAAACTGGCTGCATGCCTCCAGTCTAGGCGTAAATGTAGTTGATCCATGTTTAACTGTTGTTTCAACCAAGCTTTTGTGGCTATGGATGTGTATTTTTTGCCACATTCCTCAGTGTACACCCATTGTCCCACTCGCCTTTCTGGCGGTTCGAAATGTTTCTGAGCGACATGTCAGCATGGAGAGGCAGTCAACGTAAGCAGAGCTTTTTGAGTCGTGATGAGCCTGAGCCAGCAGATTCCATCCCACACCTGGACAGTTATGGATGGATATTGACCTGGGAGCAAATCCAAAGCTTTCTTTGTTTCTTCAGTGGCCAAGGTCGTAGTGCATCCAGTGGTGACTGCTGGAAAATCCACGTGGGGTGCCTGTGCTGGCAGAGGATCTGTTCTCGCCGTTTTCGGTTTGGTTCGGGTATGTGTTCGAAAAGCTCTAGCCATGGGAGGATCGTTCTCGGAGGTCGTTTGAATTGCGTCGTGCGATGCTGGTCTCACACATCGGGGGGGTCCACGCAGGCTTGAGCAGCACAGCCCTGAGGCAAGCCTTGGCCACAAATCCTTTGGGACGCCGAAGAGGCACTTGGTTTGGCCCGCGCCAATCGTTGGGATTTGCTTCCAGGAGCGGCCTTTGAAAAACCGCTACGAACATGGACCCTTTGTAACCACTGGCTGGTAGGGTTCCAGGGGGGCCATTGTCAGAGTCCGTGTTAGTTTTTGGGAGTGTACAGGTATGTGGAAATATGTGGAAAGTGTTTTTGTCAGTCTCTTCGTAGCTTTCCAGATCGGTGTGTGTAACTTGCCGCTGTTAGCAGGACCCAACGAGACTCCTCACGGCGGATGGGATGATGAGGCGAAGATGAGGAAGCCAATTCATCGGATACGCATCATGTGGTGATATACGTCATGTGTTCCGCTGAGTTCATGCTCAGCTTGGGGAATGTTGGAGAGGGAATGGCCGGTCATCATGAGAGATGGTGTTGACTTGATGTTCTTCTGTTTTGCTCTCCCTGCTGCTCCCAACCGCAACCACAAAAGAAAAAGTCCTCACCTCCCTCACTGCCACTTGTCTCCCAAAACACACCGAAAGATTACAAACTGTCTTTGGATACCTCAAAACGACTTTCTATCCACGCCCCACACCACTCTCCGAGACCTCTTCCACCACCGCGCGAGGCCTTCGCCACCGCGGAGGCCCAGGATCTGCTGCGGCGGCAGCAGAGCGGCGCCTGGACGGCACCGGAGGGCTGGCACCTGGACCGTGGAGAGGAGGCCGCCGATGGGACCATGACGACGGTCGGCGAACGAAAACCGGAGTGTTGGACGGTGGGAAGATGGGAATTGAACGAAAACCTCCATGAACGATCCAGAACTTCATTGAATTCCGAATGAATTCCGATCAGAAAGCATCATAAAGCTCTTGAATCCAGGTGATGAATGGGAAATCTCAGCACCTCCCGGGCACCGCCAGGAGAGCGACGATGAGTACGACGTCCACGAGGCGGCCTGGCAGAACGGCGTCATCAAGCGACAGTTCGCAGAGACCACGGTGGTGAAGGCGCGCATTCCCTTGCGCCTTCCTTCCCTGCAGAGTGGGGATGAGATGCGCGGGTCGGCCTCCAAAGACCTGGAAAAGCATGGATGGATGGTGAACGGGTGGAACCCCCGTTGCTTTTCCTTCACAATAGGATCACGGGGTTGATCAGGATTGTGTGTTGAGTCAGCAGTGAACCAGTGACTGACTAGCATCCACCACCAGGTCAGTAGGTAGGTCAGTGTTCTTCTTGAATTTGGGGCCCGCTTGGTGAGCTGTTGACGTTGTCCATTTCGTTTGCTGCTTGACTCATGGACATCGGAGGTGAGGCTGATCGATTCCAACACCTATTTTGGCAAAGGCGGGGCTCGTGCGGGATATGAAAAAGTTAAGAGATAAGGCAAGTGCAGGTAGGTTTTGTGAGGTAAGAACAGCAAGGCCATGGGACGGAGACCTTGGGCACTCTCTCAACTTCAGAGATTTAGGAGGGCAACTCTGAAGGTGACCGGTTGTGATTGAACAAACAAAGGACAATGGGATCGTGAGACTAGCATTCCAAAGGGGTTCGAAGACCTCTCCCGAACTGGCTGCCACTCAAGAAAGCTGGGGCCGGCAGGGTTGGCACAGAGCAACTCTAGGGTTTATAGGGGCTCCTTCACGTTCACAAGCCCTTCAAGGTGGACCGGCGCGGTGTGTTCTCGCAGGAAAGGTGGCTGAGCTGGCCATGTACATTGCCCAGTACCTTGGCTCCAAGCCATCGACCACCCCCCGAAAAACGGAACGAGGTTGATGCACTGCAACGAGGTCCGAAGTGTGATGTCATGCGACTCATCGGACATCAGGAATCCCTGTGACTACCTCTTCGTCAACACGACGTTGACGCCGACGCAGTCACGGAACTTGGAGACGGCCGCTTTGCTGTTGCCAAGAGGGGAAAGCAGATGTACGGAGTCTTATTTTTCCTCGAAGTAGATGTTCAAGTTCCCTTTCTTCAAAGAGGCCTTGTGTTTCTTCACCAGGTCTTGCTTCTTTGAAGCCAGCTTGATTTGATTCTGGAATGTGTTGGGGCTTGTGGTCAGACTTTTGCCACTAGCTTGTGGAAACCCCAGAGTCGGGAGAACTGTGAACGAAGGAGGGTGACACAAACAGACCTCTTACCGCCGAGGAGATGTGTTCGTACGTGCCACAAGCATTCAAAAGCATGATTGTTCACTCTGAATTTTGTCGGTTACTTTACATCTAACCGAAGTGAGCTGCCTGTTGTTTTCCTTCGAGCTGGTGTGGCACATGGACCTTTCCCATTCGGCTGAACAGTTCCTTTTGCTGTGGAAAACGGCACAAAAGAAGGCAGAGATATCAGTGAAATTCATGATCTTGCTTAAGATGATCCTTTCTTAATTTTCCCATGGTCAACTCTCCGGTTCCTTAAGCCAATCCAAGAATTGCTCACCAAAAGAAGAAAACAAACGAAGGCCTCAGCTCACCGATGAGACTTCAGACCTCAGGTCCTCAACAACGCGGTGGCCGCCGGAGACGCGCAGCAACGACGAGATGAAAATCGAGGGATACCTCCTGGAACAAAGTTGCCGGGTCATTGTTCTGCCCATTTCATATGGTTTTGATGTGTTTTTCCTTGGAGATGTCGTCGTCAAGTGCCATATCTGTTGATCAATGCTTTGTCAATAGTTATTTACATGTATTTACGTTGTTTTCGAGTCTTGAGCGTTGGTTCCCAGAATTTCTAGGAGATGTCCCAAGGTAGCTCAGATGAACAAAAGAGAAGAGAAGAGAAAAGAAAAGAAAGCTCGACGAAGCAGAACTTTCGAACAGCTCGCTCGGTCGCCCAACGCAGCTTTGATAATGACTACACCAGTCTTTTTCTACTCGACCTTGGTCAACGCGGTGTTGGTGTTTTGACCTTTGGACCGAGGTTTCCAGGCCTCGAGGTGATCGATCGAAATCGCTTGGCCACTGGGACTCGCGGAGGGTGGGCCTGGGAGTTGCTGGGTCTACCAAGTGTTTGGCAGAAAGGCTCAAAATGACGGTAGCACCCTGCCTATATAGGAAGTCAAGCATACTGAAACTGCATGGTTAGCTGCACTTCTTCAAGACCCAAACGAGGTCTTGGAGATCTTCAACCTACGGGCGCGGACGCCACAGGCAAAGGTCCAGGCAGGGAGAACGAGATTGGAGTGTGCCATGTGGGCAGGTTGGACGATTAGATGTGGCAGGAGGGATGGTTCTTGCCCTTGGCCTTTAGGCTTCTGAACGTGACACAAACAGGTTGGAGATGGCAGGGCTGGTGTTATTTTGTTGGGCTGTGGCTCAGTGGCTTCTGCTGGAGTTGCCACTACGGTCATGTCCAAGGATCGGGGTTTCGCAAGATTCCCACCAAACCATGGCAGGTGGCACTGGCGCGACTGGAGTATATGAAGGGTCGCCTGTCGCTATGCACCAAAAAGCAGATGAAGGAGACAAGTCATATGGCAGAGATGGTCTTTGATGGCCATTCGAAGAATAGATGATCCGAACTTCAAACCTGTTCACAGTCCTGCATTCGCTCAAGCTAGTTGTTTCTTTGACATTGAGCTGCTGGGGCCTTTTGTATCCAAAACAGGCAGCTCAATGTGCCTTTTTGACTCGAACCATTCTTTCGATCATCGCCTTCGGACAAAACCATGTTCCGCCAGGACACCATCCGACTCCTACAGCAGGAGGTAGGGCCCTTCAAGGAAGTTCAGGGTTACCCGAGCCTTGGTTGCGAGTTGAGGTGAAAGTGTTGCTTTTGGGAGGAGGAGTTGCATGGCTTCAAAGAAGCTTTGCCAGCTGACATACGGTATACATAGTTTTTGTAGGTTTTGGTTCGGAACCCCTCGATGGGAGACACGCCGACAGGCCCTTCAATTCGGCAAACAGCCCAAGCTCCAAGACTCAGATACTGTGGTTGAAGAAGACCCGAAAGTGTTGTCAAGACAAAAGAGCACGTTCCAAATCACACTATAGGGCCAATGAATTGATCAACTCTGCCAAGGAACAACGTGTATGCGCAGTACCACTACGAGACTTCTCCCTTTGAAACTGAGAAGTCTTTGCTGCGACAAGCTGAGCTTCGCTTCAAGAAGATGTTGGAAACTGCTCCTTGGCCCACCGGGATTGGCCGATGGCAGTGGGACTGGCGCACGTTTTCACCGTGGAAGATCCCAACCCCTTGGGCCGTGGTGCAAGAGGTCGAAGATCAGGATGGATAGGATGAATCTTCCAACTTCTGCCTCCTTAGGTTGTCATGTGACGTTGCATCGGTAGGAAGGGCTGAATGGACTGGACGACTGGGGGTTGCTGGCGAATTTCGGGTGGATAACTGTATAACTGTGGACCAATACAGCTTAAGATGACAAAGTGACGGGCTTCTAGGCAACCAATCCCATCATCTCACCGACCGGCATTGGGATGACCAAGTGTCCGATGCTGTGCGCTGATGAGGAGAAGAAGGTCCGGAAGAAGGCCCGCGAGAATCGAGAAGGTGTCCCCACCATTGGCATCGTGGGCTACACGAATGCAGGCCATGCACAGAACCTGCATCGATGACTTGAACTTGCACTGGTGTACTGCGAGGTTGAGTGTTTGTTAGCAGTTTGCGAAGTAGGTTGAGTAGTAGATGGCTTGGAGCATGTGCACATGAAGCACCATGTCTGGCAATTTCGGCATGGACTCCAGGCAAGACATCGCTGATGAACCGCCTCACCGATGCAGGCATGGCTTTAGCTTTCGCATGGTTTGGACGAGTCTAAGCCAAAAGTATCCAAAGCATTTAGCAGTGCCCTTGCTTCTTGTTACTAGTAGTAATGCACTTGTTGCAAGTGGCGATGCCCCTGCTACTACCAGCACATGCAGGACAACCTCCAAGCAATGAGATTCTGATGTGTTCACGCTGGGTTCCTGTTTTGACACCCAGGGTTATGGGTAAACGATGTTGGGCCAGCTGCAGGGCTAAGAGGAGCGTGACCAGAGAAAGAAATGGTGCGGGAGAGTTTGACTACTGTACGCAACTCTTCTAGTTGCGTGAAACTGCTGGTGCTTCTAAGCCTGCAAAGCATGCGGAACAACATGAACAACGGCCCAGCAAGGAGTCCTTTTCCCTCGACTGTTTGTTGTACACGGCGACGCGGGCTTTTCAGCATCAACCGTGAGTGTATTAGACCGTTAGACGTACCATTTGACACGACGAAGGAGTTCGACTGCTGCAGATGATGCAGTCGCCCCGTCTCGCCCCGTCCGTGAGGCCTCCGGGAACGTGATTTGCTTTTTCAAACCTTGGACACCACGATGCGGAGGGTGAAGCTTCCGTCTGGGGGGCACCTGGGTCAAAAGTGAGCTGGCGCCTTCAACCCGAAGTCAAAGACACAAGTTGAGTCCTGGAACCAGAGATGAGCAACCCTTGACATGACCGACACTGCCATTGCTTTCACTTAGCCATCTTCAAAACCCACTGCATAGAAAGAGAAATCCACCCACTCCAGGTCATGGAAGGTTGCAAACATCGCCACATGCAGACTCCGTGATCGTGTGGGTTCGTGATCCGCACACGGACCGGAGGTTTGGTGGCAATTCGAATGTCGCACAGTCACACACTGCAGGAATTGGTTCCTGTATGGAATTGGGCATTGCTACCACGCTACTAGTACTTGCAACCACTGAACCTCCCCAGGCACGCCATCATCGCTGACAGTATCGGCTTCATCCAACACTTGCCGCACAATCTCTTTGACACTTGGCAGCATAAAAAGCCACAAAAGAGGAGCGGGCGACTGACCTTTCTTGGTGTGGTTTCGTTTTTTCCGCTTGTGGAGTGCCTAGGCAGCTTTCCAAGCAACCTTGGAAGAGATCATTGACTGTGACGTCCTGTTGCGCCTGGGCATGCTCATGTGGGAGGTGGAGTGAAATAGGCGCATGAATGGCCGGAAGCCATGCAGCTTTCTACTTCACAATCACTTTTCGTGGTGCTTCTTTTTTTGTCACTCATTTGTGAATTGAGCACGTTCTCCTCGCTGCTTGTCGGTGCCGGAGAATTTGCTGCACGCTTGAACGTCCAACTGGTTCCACAGGAAATTGCAGTGAAGGTAGATGGTTTCAAAGGAAACTGATTCATACTAATCGGAGCAGGTGCGATTCTGGACGGAGGATGTTCTCACGGAAATGATTTGTACATCGCTTGTCGATGCCAAGGCACGTTCGCGACATTGCTCATCCACAACGCACCATGCAGAAGCTTGGTTCGAACTGGGTTCATTCTGATATGTCGCAACCTTTGTACATATTTGCCGCATACCCAGCGTGGGAAAGCTTGAGTTCGTTCTTAATCACGCCACAAGATGACTTCGCACAAATGCTTTGCACCAAGTTGCCAAAGTCCTGCTGTTTCTGCAGCTGCCCCACCGTTTGAGGAAGGATATTGTCTTGAAGACTCTTCGAAGCGCTGGAATGTCAGAGCAAAAGCTGCAATCTTCAGTCATCGAAGCCACTTGTCCTCGATTGGCCTATAGACTGTGACATGTGAAGGTTGGTAAATACAAAGCCCGAACCGTAGAACGCAATGAAATGCATGTCAAGCAATACTAAGCTACACTAGAGTCACTATAGAGGACGTGGAAACCAGCAAGGTGGCAGATCAATGCGGGCTGCGGGCCCATCTTGTAGGCCGATGCGGTTTCCTTGAGACACCACCGTGCGTCTGTGACCAGAGACCGTGCTGGAGACGTGACGCGCTCAGAGCCGAGGTTTGGAACAAGATCGATTTGTTGAAGGCCATGAGCTTCGTTCCACCGGAAGCGGTGCCCGTCTGTGCAGTGCCTCGGTGAGTGAGCGCCACCAGTGAGGGGTGATGATAAGAATGCTACTAGTAGCGATGCCATTAGTAGCGTCCGATCGCTCCTAGTAGTAAGGCCAGGAGCCCCGTTCGTAGCTTCTTGTTCCTATCAAAAGGTGTTTTTTTGTGTTGAGGAAATCGGCGGGGATCTAGAAACTGGTTGGGGGAATGGTCAGCAGGTCACCATTCCGTGCAAATGTTAGGAACAAAGCAGCCCCTGTGACTTCGACCACGAGCTGAATCTTCGCAGGGTGCCTTCAGTGAACCTGGTGTGCAGGACATCCTACAGTGATTAAGCCGTTCAGAAACTAATGGTCAAGGTTTTTGTTTGCTTTTCAACATGGGGTTGCATGTCGAGATGACGAGGTGCAACTATTCATCTCCACACCCTCGTGCAGTCAGCTCAACCTCCATTTGTTAAATCTAAGGCTGATGGCACTGGAGTCAATGACCTGCTTCAGGTGCTTGATGCAGCCGCTTGGCATGATCGCCCCCAAGTGGAGTCACCTTAAACCGACCAGACAGGCAGACAACACAACCAGCCGACCCGACCAAAAGACTCATCGGTCGCAGCTGGTTGCCGCGACCAGCTGCGGCGCGCCATGTGCGCGTCCACCGGCGAAAAGGTGATCGCTGCGCAAGTGGACAAGCAGTGCCGGACCGTGGAGTTCCCACAGGACGTCATGGCACAGGCGAGAGTCGGAGAATGGAGCTGAGCAGTTGAAGCTTTGCTGATCGCCTTGCACGCTGATTGTTTCCTCCATGCTGTGGATACAAACAGAACCCTCAATGATTCTTTGCTCAACTCCTTGATGTATCATGACGGTATATAATTGGTTGGTTTCCTGCACCATCCGGATGTGAAGCTGTTCCAAAAGTCCCAGCCGCATGTCTCAGGCGATGTCCTTCCTGAACCGCCACGGCAGCATCCAGGAGGAGACCTTGGAGATCGATGACTCCGACGCACCCATGGTGCGACGGCATCCGCGGAGCATCGTAGACAACGGCGGATCGAAGCATTGAAGAATCAGAGATGGGGGGCATGCTATAGGGGCATGCAGATGGGGATCTTAGACAGGGCAGACTAAGCAGTTTGCACCACATGTTTACCTACTTGTATCATACAGTCATACCGTAACTCATGTTTTTTGCTCACTTCACCTGTAAATGAGGAGGCTCTTTTGGTCTAAAAAGCCGCATCGTCACGCGGGCCAGGTGCGCCTGGAGGTCTTGATGCCGGCGGTGGCCTGGCGTCGCTGGGCCAATGAGCTCCAAACCTGGCGAAGCACCGTGCCGCGCAGAAAGCGAAAGAAAAAATCACTGCGCGACGCTGGTGCGGCGAAAAGCCGCATGCCCGGAAGATAGGATGAAGTTTCTGAGGAGGCGATGGAACTTTGGATGCCATGTCATTCAAGTATCACATGTGATGGCATGTTCGCAGCCATTGAGCTTTGTATGAGTATGATACGGACCCCGCACGAACAACCGCCTTAAATAAGTGTTGAGTTGCTTTTTGCAGTGCTGCCCTTCAGACAAACAAGTGACAATTGCAAAGCACCGATGTCAACCCTGCAATTAGCTTCTTTATCCCAGGCAGTGCCAGATTTCTTCCAACCGTTCCTAGACTTGTAGGGACCATACCCTAGGTGTGGGATGCATTTTGGAAGTTTGGGTGGTATCAGGTCAGGTATCAATTTTTAATTTCTAATATCGGCTGGGCATGACCATATTTTTGGGGTTATGTTGTAGTTCCACACATGAAGGAGCCGGAACGTCCCGGTGATGAATCTCTCCAAAGTGAGTTCTGTTGGCGCCACACTGACTGATGGGGTTTGAGTGGTTTTCTACGGCTGTTCTTCACCTATAGACTATAGACGCAAACATTGAGTCATCATCACGAATCGACCAGAACAACCAAATCCATGTTCCAACAAATTCTTACAACCCCTCTCATCACCTGTCGTCACTGCTGCCCTCAGAGGCCTGGGCCACTGGGTACGCCCTTGGAGCCTGGCACCTTGGTTTGGGCCCGGGCAGCCCAGCGGTCAAAGAGTCAAAGATGGCTGGATGGCCTTTGCTCCCGCAACAAGTGGAAGCGGGCAACGACTCAAAAGTGCTAGCGGCTAGCGAGGGAAGCGGCATGATGACTGCGCCAATGTGCCACATGTTACTGGTCGCGGTTTTCTCCTTCCTTCCACTCATACATACAGATGTTCCAAGACTGCGGCTAGGAGCCAGCCCAACGGGAGTCATGCTACTGTTTGTGCGTGAATCAGTGCGGGGGGCAGCTATCGCCCTTTGTCTTGCCGTTTGGGACGCTGAAGGAATTGCTCTGCAAAATGATGTTGCATATCAATACGATTATGTATGCTTTCCCTACACCAGACACGAGGAGTCACGCAGCAGGCCGAGCAATCCACACTGAACAAAAAAGAGCAGGACATCCTCATTCTCCCTGAGCTTAGCTTGAGGTTCTTCATCTACCACCAAAAGACAGGACGTTGGTGGAGTACAGTAGGTCAGCCGGCCTTTCTCGCCATGGCCGACAAGGAAGTCATTGCTCGAATAATTCTGGATCTTGCCAAGGGCGTCCTGAAGAACCAGCCTGAGGAATATCAAAGAACTTTGGCTGAGGCATATCAAATGCAATCTCACAATCTCATGTAAAAGCCCTTGCTGCCAGATTGGTGCATGAACAAGCTACGAAGAGGAGTTCTGTAACATAGGGATCCCGTACCTGCAGCTAAGGTAGCTCAAACACTAAGTTTCGGCATCAAAGTTGGAGAGCACTTGTCACTGAATTGAGGGGACCAAGAAGCTTGGAGTGACCAAGATGCTGAAAGCGATGGTCACACAGATGGCGACTTGGTTTGGGTATGCTTGGGTTACTGCAAGGGTTGGTGATCAAGGTTTGCAAGCTCACGGCACACCGGTCCACCAAAGACTACAAACATTGAATCACATTATGTGGAGACGTGAGCTCTAGCTTCCTTGTTGCATTTGACCGTGTTTGCGGGCCAATGCGGGCCAGCAAGGCGAGGATGGCGACAACACCCAGGATGTTGGGGGTGCCGAGGGTTGGCGACTCAGTCACATGGAAACGATATTCAGTTGACATCTATCTTATAAGCTGTAGATGGTGCACCCATGTGACCAGGTGCACTGAGAAAGCTTGCCATTCTGAAGAAGTATTTGAGACATGGTGAGAGGATGTAAGAGGCCTATTTTTCCGTCAAGCTCTGAGGCATGAGCGCTGGCACCATGTCCCGGCGGCTTCGGAAGCTGGCGCGAGAGATTTTGGAGCTGGTCCGTTTGGAAGCTCACTTGCAGGGTAGCTGCAGGTCATTGCACACCTTGTTTCCGCAAATGCGCTTGCGCAAGTTCTTTGCCAAGCCGAACCCCCCGGTTGGATTCAAGAAAGACAGTGACGTCAAGAGAACAGCGTTGGTGGGGCATTCAAGTCACTGTCATTCACTCATTTCGATGCCACACATAATTGAGCACAGGAATCTCATTAGTGATTAGTGCTCTCCCTATGGATCAACCCGCAAGGAAACTGGTGGAGCCAGTGATGAAGACGGCGATGCTGTGACTGCTTTGCACACCTTCTGGAAGCTTCGGGACAAAGTTACGAAGCTGGCGCGTCCGCGTCGTCGGGACCCGGGCTACAGCGACCCAGACGATCCCGGGGGTCCCCTCGAGCAGCTGAGTGTGGCCCAACTGGTTCGTGAGCTGGCGAAGGAGTTCCTGCAATTGTCGGATGAAGAGACTCGAATGCAGAAAAGAGGGCAGGTTGTACTTTGCAAAGCATTTTTTGACAATCTTGGAGGGTTGATTTAGTGGAGGAATGCCGGTACTGGCAAGCAGCGGCCTTTGCTTGCCTTCTTGATCACTTCTCTCTTCATGAACAAAGTCCTATTCCGCAGCTCTCCATTCTTGTGTGTGTGAAACTTTTATTCCGCAACTATTTGGTACTCTTCCGCAACTACTCTTCAGATACTATTCTTCGGAAACTATTGCGTGCTCTTCAGAAACTCTTTTGCGATCTTCAGACACTACTTTGTGATCTTAAGAAACTATTTCGCGGTCTTCAGAAACTATTCTGGAAACTGTTTCAATATTGTAACCAAATTGCATGAAGGAGCGCTGGGGGGTGGGGGTGGTGGTGGGGTTATTGAATGTTATTTACGTACCTTGTGACGGCTACGGCATACACATGCCTATTTTGCGATCTGCAGGAACCTTTTCGTGCAGGTTTGATGTTGCTCTTCAGCTCTTCGTAGTTTCCGAACATTAGCTAGTTTCTGAAGAAAACCTTAAAAGTTTCCGAAGGTCGCCTTTTAGTTTCTGAATAAAACGTTGACCCTGTATTCACCGTTCCATCAACTGCACTCCCCTTTTGTTAGTTCTGGTGCCCTTTGGCCTTTTTCAGGAATGATAATGCCTCCCTTCGGCCCATTGTGATAATGATCTTTCTCGACACTTCTGTTCCCAACCGATCGAGAGTCTCCACTCCAACCTCTAAGCCTTACAGCTTCATCCTTTTTAGCACGTGACTGTGGAAGTCATGCTTCCGCTTTCAGTCTTTGCCTATGCTCTCGCGTCGATCTCCTGCCAAGAGTCCTTTGAACTGTGCCAGCCACGATCCCATCGCCGACGTGAGGTTGAGCGTAGAGTAGCTCGCCTCGGCTCAGAGGAGTGTTCTTTCTTTTCTTCAGTAGTACCTCTTGGACGGTCTTGCACTTCCTGGACCGCTCGCCGTGTCTGCGGTACGGCAGAGGTCTCCCTGATCTGCTTGAAGGCATTCAACAGCTGGAGCCCCTTAGCAGTAAACACAACCTCGCCTGGTCGTCCACCACTTCGAAGCCCCTCTCCACTCAGTCCTTCTTCCGGCGCGGTCGCCCACTGGGATGAGAGCATTCCGGCGAGTGGTCGGCACAGTGAACACAACTGCGAGGATGTATTTGACGTAATTACCTGGGTCGGTCATCCACTCTTTTGAAAGGGCCCGCCGAGTTGCTTTGGCAGCAGGGATGGTGGGGCATGTGGTTGTTGAGCAGGTGCTTCATGCCTGATCTCGGGCATTCTGGGGCTGCAAACTTTCATCGGCCTTGTGGACTTCCTTCTAAGTGGCTGATTGGTCTCTGGTTCCAAGCCACCTCGAAGAGGCCCCAAAGCTTTGCTGTTGTCCTTCCTTCATCTTCTCTCACTCTGGCCAACACCAGAAAATGGTCGCCGTCGCTGCTCCTGGACCTCGTCGGGCGACAAGAGGGGAACTTGCCTGGCTCGTCCTGTGGTGGAAGAACTGCCGTTTTTTTTCCACCACTGCCAGCTGGTTGTTCAATGGTTGGAGTGGCCTTGTCTTGCCTTTTTAGTCAAAAAGCTTTAGGGCAATACATTGATACACTTCTCGATTTGTGCCATGGACTGTGCTCGGATTCCCGATGTCTTGCAAATCAGGCAACCTGTGGGGAAGGTAGATACGACTGTGAGCCCACCTACCTCGGAGATGATGAGGGCGATCTCACAATCTGGCGCGAGATTGTGGAAGCAACTTAGTGTTGGTGACAATATGACAACATGTTTGAGGTTTGACCCTCCAGAACGTTCGTGTGGGGCTCAGTAGTGGGCTGGGTATATGTTTAGGTGTAAGCGCCTTGTGTCATGACGTCACGATGTTCCGATCTTCAGCCAAGGCTGCAAAAGGTCCAGCCTTCCAATTGACCACAGGGAAAGATGCAGCCACAGATGTGAGACAGATTCTGCTGGCGACTCGTGGCCTTGAACGGCGGCATGAAATCAACAGCAGAAACGATCAAAATAGCCTGGACATGGCCACGGTTTGTGGAACCGATTCGGTTCACCTCACAAGACCCACGGGCCTTTCGACAGGGCAGGCTGCCTCGAATGCGGGACATCCTCAGCAGGTGAGTGATGGTGGCACCTGGGAAGACCATGAGGGACCTAAGGGAAGATCGCAGTTGGAAGGAGTGCTTCAAATGATAGACAAGGGTCACCGAGTTTGCACTCGTGGACATCCGCTGGTAGAATGCTTAGACCATTGCAAGCAACTTCACAGGTGCAGCTCCTGCAGCTCCTACATTGGTTTATTCGGCGTCTTGCGATGCCACCAGTGCGGCTACGATCTATGTGCCAAGTGTCGATATGGGCCGGTGGCCCTTGGTGCCAAAATGTTGCGCACGAAGGAAGAAAATGAAGCAATCTTGCAACATATCGAAAAAGCTCTTCAGATGCACCAGGAAAGTGGTGACATCGATGCAGACATTACGGGAAAGCTTTGGGTGACCCACGGCGAAATCAACGAAGCGCTTGGCAATCACAAGGAAGCAATCCAAAACTACGACAAGGCCATCGAGCTCAATCCTGAGTATTGTGTGGCAGTCTTTCGCCGCGGCCGCTCCAAGCGTGCTCTTGGCAGGTATGAAGAAGCAATCATGGCAATCCAAGACTATGACAAGGCCATTGAGCTGGATCCCAATGATGCAGCTATGACATTCTTCGCCCGCGGCCCCAGGCATGCTCTTGGCAGGTATGAGGAGGCCATCGAGGACTTCTACAAGGACATTGACGAGCTGGATCCCAATGATGCTGAGACATTCTTCTCTCGCAACCCGACCTTGCAGGAGGCCATCGAAGACCTCGAGAAGGCCTTTGAGCTGGAGGAGGCCATCAAGGACTACGACTACGACAAGGCCATTGAGCTGGATCCCAATGATGCCGTGGCATTTCGCAACCGAGGCTACTCCAAGCAGTCCCTTCACCAGCATCAGGAGGCCATCAAGGACTACGATAAGGCCATTGAGCTGGATCCCAACGATGCTGTGGCATTTCGCAACCGCGGCTACTGCAAGCAGATCGTTGGCAGGGATGAGGAGGCCATCCAGGACTACGACAAGGCCATTGCAATGGCATTCCGCCGCCGCGCCGAATGCAAGCAGTCCGCGGAGGCCATCGAAGACCGAACGATGCTACGACATTCTTCGCCCGTGGTTCCTGCAAGCATTTCCTTGGCCGGCACGAGGAGGCCATCAAGGACTTCGTCAGGGCCAATGAGCTGCGTGGGCGAATCTGTCGTTCCTCGAAGGAGGACTCCTCCGTAGTTAGCAGCAAGTTCTAGGCAGCTGAAGAGGCTCATGCTTGGGCTTCTTGTGCCCTTAAAGCATCGAGTCGGCAGCTTTTCATGTCTGTAACTTCAGCCACGCGAGTCGCGGCTTTGTCCAAAAGGAAGCGAGTGCTCTCACTGGCCAAGTTTGCAAACAGAACAAGCGCTTGATTTACCTGGTCTCTCCACATGCTTGGCTTGATCTGGAGCCTAGGAAACCTGGGCTCCACAGTCATTCTCTCCTTGGTGCCAGGTTTGGATCAGGCTTTCCTGACGACAGCTCCAATGAGCAAGCCACCGGGAGCCTGGAGCAGGACGGGTTCCCCAGGTAGCGAAACGTGGTGGGGCCCGAGCAGATCCATGTTTGGATGGGTCAGTAAATCGAAAATTGCATCGCTAGCTCTCTCCAACCTAAAACCATGACCTAGCATGAAGGCATGGGCAATCATGCCTCGCATTGGGGCCGCCAAAGCCGGAGAGTGTATCATGGGAAAGGATGTTTTGGAGCCATACTGCTGACAAACCAATGACAGGGGATAAAGGGATCGAGGTGATTCCCGATGCCGTAGCTACAGGCGTTGATTGAAGACCTGTTCGAAACTCGTCCCTTTTGTTTCGACACATTGGCAAGTGGACCTGGTCTTGTCATGGTTTGACATTGACCAGTTCCCTGCCGGTCAGGGGCCTCGTAGCAGCCATCATGCAACGAGAGAGGTAGCCAGGTAGCCCTAGCACCATTACTAAGTGCACCGCAAGAGCAACATTCGGTGCCATTCTAGAGAAAAGATGACTACTTGAAATACAGTATATATATAATTATATATATATATATATGTGTGTGTGTTCATATGACCACATGAGTAAACACAACACATAGCGGTTTCACCGTGGCATTGGGCTCGAAGGGCATATGCAAAGGTGCACAGTCTGCAAGAGGTGGAACCTTCTTGCGGGAAAGTGCTCGGTGTGCACCTCGGCGAACCGGCTGTGGGGGGGGCTGTGACCAACCCTCGGTTGGCGGGATCGACTGAGGCCAAGGTTGTCCGTGCATTGGACACCGCTTTTTACTCGATAGCGCGGCTCTTTCCGGAAGCAGAGGAGGCAGAAGGAAAGGGAGAAGCACCCCCACAGGCCGGAAAGGAAGAAAAGCCTGACAGCCCAGACAAAGAAGAAAGTCAAAGCCGAGAAGCCCTTGCAGTAAAGCCAGGGGAAGCCCCACAGCCTACCGAGAAACCAGAAGAGGAGTCAAAGGGAGTCAACAACAAGTCAAGAAGTCCGGAAGAAAGGAAGCAGCAGAAGGGACGAGGAGAGAGACATTAGGACACGTTCAAGAACTCCCAAACGGCAAAAGGAGAAAGAAAAGCGGAGACGGAGACGGAGGAGATCGACATCGACTGAGGTAAGCGGCTCAGAGGTGAGGAGACAGAAACGGGAGACTCAGGCCTCCCAGGAAAGCAAGAGTCAGGAGACAAGACACCCCCAAAAGAGACAGTCATTGAGAGAGAAGCATATTTGAGACCAAGACCTACACAGCGGAAAACAAGGTCGCCACATACTCCAGAACGCCCACCTCCTTCAACGTCTTCAAGACCTAAAGGACGTGGAAAAGGCAAGCCACAAGGCAGTGGTTGGAGAGGATGGGTTCCTTATTCGAACCATCCTCGCTGGAGTTCAGGCACCAACAAAGGTGTAACAAAGAGGGCAAAGCAAGAGCTTAGAGAGAGAGAAAGACATACGGTCGCGGAGGCCGATACCGCTGGTGAGGGGAGGAATGCCTCCCAAACTCAGGAGACCGGCTGCAGCCCCTGCTCGAGCTTGACATCGACGTAGACCTGCTGCAGAAACAGAAGAGTCAGTGTCCGTGGAGAAGCTATATGGGTGGTCAGAGTTCACCTTGGACAAACTTGGGGAGCTGGATGTGATCGAGCTTGATCGACCATTGTACTACAATGCCCATGTCAAGATAGCTGGAAGAGTTCGTGCCCTTCACCCCGCCGAAGGCCGAATGGATTTCGTGTTGACCGGGACACAGTCCGCGCGCATCATGGAGATGTTTGGAGGAGGACAGGACCGAGCAATCTCTGTCCACCTGTGCAAAAGAGGAGTGCAGCCAGCTTGAGACTTGGGCTACGCCTAGTGCACGCTCGAGGTCTTTGAGATTGTTGTGTGGCAACCAAGGAGTGGCAGATGAACCTCTCGGAGAAGGCCGTGGCGGAGCTCGACGAGTTGGCTTCCCTGAAGAGGCTGGCCGAGGAGAGAGGAAAAGGGAGGGGAGGTGAAAGACCTCCCAAAGAAGGCGGGGTCGCTGAAGGAGAGCCTGAAGCGGAGAAAAAGGTAGAAAAAGAAAAGACAAAGAAGAAGAGGAGAGAGAGGAAAGGAGAGAAAGAATGGGAGGAGAAGTTGGAGGCTCAGGAGGGCCTTGAGGTACTAGAGAGGGGGCAGAAGACGGCCCGGGCGGTCTTTGGAAACACCTGCCTGGACCCCATGTGAGCCGTCGTAAGAGATTGATGAGGAAGGCCCGAAAGCTGAAAAAGAAGGGTGAAAAGAAGCGAAAGAGGTCCAGCAGCTCAGATGAGGAGGAGAGCAGCTCCGAGAGTAGCCCAGAAGAAGAATCAGAGGAAGAAGGGCCCTTATTTGAGGAGACTCGGCGAGTGAAGCGCCTTCATGATCGGTTCCCTGGAGCGCTGTCGATGCAGGCCATTGAAAACATGAGAGAGCATTTGATGAATGTGAGGGGGGAGCTTTACAGCAGCTCAAAAGAATAGTTGGCGCCTATCTTTGCGATATACGCTCACCAACATCTGAAGCCTACACCGTGTCTCGGCAGTTGGAATTGGTGGGTGCAGACCAGGTGACTATGACTGAAGCAGGGGAAAACTATGAGGCGGCTAGACATGCAAGAGAAGACTTCAGGAACAAGTCCTTGGGGTCAAATCCCATGGCTTGGGGCGAAAAGGCGGCAGTGACGGACCTCCGCATTCTCCTGGCTGCGAAGGTGGATGAGGTGGATTTCCTGGAGCCAGGTTGGAAACGCATCAAAAAAGATTGCCATTTCCCCACCTTTACTACAGCCAGGCCCTCACCTACACCGGGGTGTTGTGCCCTCCGGACGCTGTGGCACGCTGGCAGGCAGACTCCCACAGATTTCCACCATACCAATATCGGGCAGAGAACTGCGTGACAAACGCCAAAGGTGATTTGCGGTTTTATCCACTCGGGAACGTGAGGCGATCATGGGTTTTCCCTTGGACTACACCCGTCGCTGCATGCCAAAGGTCAAGGAAGGAAGCCGGAGCACGATGATTGTCGTTTGCGTCTGCTGGGCAATAGTTAGTCAGTGCTTGTGGTTTGCGTGTTACTTCACTCATTGTTGCGGGTGTTCGGCTGGATCCCAACGCTGAGCATTCAGGACATTGTTGACCGTCTCACGCCAGGATGTGCCTCTGGCCTTGCTGGTTTGCTGTTGCGTCCGCCCCTCCGGCATGAAAAGCGTGAGACTCAGGAAGGGCCAGGCTTGGTTCGTAAGCTGTTAGGGCAAGTGTCGGTCAAAGGGGGGGATATCCTTTTGCAGATGGGCTCCGATGTCCCAGCCCGCTACGATGCATCGGTTGCGCGCGTCTCTTCCCAGCAAGCTCTGGCGTTGGCGTGATGTTGTTGGGTGGCGATGGAAAGGTGGCCCCGAGCATATCAACGCCCTGGAACTCAGGGCTGTCAAGACTAGTCTCATATGGCGAATCAAGGGTAGAAAACTTCGTCGGACTCTGGCTAAGATTGGTGCATTGTTGTTGGCAAGCGGCTCTGTTGGTGCATGGTTTTCTATGTGGACACGCGCCAAAATCCAGCGGATCGGCCGTCGCGGCGGCCGGCCCACGCGGAAATCACGGGTAAAAAGACCACGAAAGTAATCGAAAGTCGTAGTCAACAACAACGCGTCAAAGTACGGAAGCAGCTCGGAAGCCTTAAAGGTTTGACGGTACAACCGCACACGCAGGAGCGTTACCAGACGACTTGTCTTGACAAATTCGTTGATTGGCTGGCAGGGGAGGGCCTTGGGTGCAAGCTATGGATCATGTGGTTTCGGATTATCTCGAATTCCTTTGAGCCACCGGCGAAAGCAAATCCATAGCCAACAACACACTTGCCGCTCTCCAAGACAAAGAGCCCGGCCTTAAGAGCGGCCTTGCTGGAAGCTGGAGACTACTCAAAGCCTGGTCCACAGCTGAGATTCCCCATCGGGCACCCCCCATGACACTTGTTGTTCTCGATGCCTTATGTGGCTGGTTCATCATGAAAGAGATGCCGGTCATGGCCTTGTCGCTGCGAGTGGCCTTCTTTGGTCTCGTACGAACGGGAGGGCTTCTCAACAGATGTCTTTCTACCTTCTCCCAAAGGACCTGCTGTGCTGTCGCTGGGGCGCACCAAAGCTGGCGCCCGACAAGGGGCAGCAGAGAGCGTGACGCTGCACGAGGACTCCATACTACCTGCACTCTACGGTTGGAAGCAAAGTGTTCGACCGGCCGAATTTTTAACGCCTAAGCCACATCAGTGGCGTTCCCTGTTTGCCAGTGCCCTGGAAGCACTGCAGTCTCCGGCATGGCGGGGCTACTTTTCTGGTTCAACCATCACGGTTCATTTGACCGCTTGTTGGTCCAAGGCCGTTGGGCTGCCGCAAAAATGGCTCGGATTTGTTTGAATGATGGGTTCGCCCAGTTGGCTGACATGGCGGAAAAGGGCGGACACCAGCAGTGACAGACCTGCATGGGAGACAAATGAATAGAAACCCTACATGGCCAGCGGAAAAGGGCGGACACCAGCAGTGACAGACCTGGGAGATAAATGAATAGAAACGCTACATGGCGCGGACACCACCAGCGAGAGACCTGGGAGACAAATGAATAGAATGGCTACATGCCCAGCAGAAACGGGGGATGCCTATCAAAAAGAAAACTAATTCCTATCAAAAAACATTAATTCGTATCAAAAATAAAATTCCCCCTA